AATGACCTCCTTCTTCGAGTTATTTAATGTAAAGAGACCATAGGTTGTTTTAGTAAAAAAAAACGTGAATATACCTTTGCTTAGAAAGTAGTAGTATTTGGTATTGCAAGAAATTAAACAGCTGGTCTTATTCCAAAAATGTTATTTTTTAAGTTATTTATTGTGTAGAGAGGGTGTGTTTTCCTAGCAAAAACGTGTACATATACCTTTGCTCAGAAGGTATAGTCGTGGTAACTAAATAGATGTAGGACCAGAAAACACATGTGAAAGCAATTTTAAAAAAAATGTCGTCTAAATCCGGTGCTTTGATATCACCTAGATCTATCAGTGATGTGTACTCTTTTTACGTTTTGATTATATATAGATCTTCAACTGTTTTGGTTCTTATACACCCTTGGCTTTCAATTATTATGCGTTGTCTTTGAGATAACTAAAGTATAGTAATAAAAACTTGTTTCGGGATTTGTACTGTATTCCTGTCACGTAATGTTGTCATTTTAGCGGTATTTTTAACATTGCCATATAAGCGGGAGGTTTGGCTAGCCATAAAAACCAGGTTCACCCCACCATTTTTTTCTTAAAATGTCCTGTACCAAGTCAGGAATATGACAGTCCGTTTATATGTATGTTGGCTTTGTTTTTGTTGCAGTTCAGTGTTTCGGTTGTTCCGTTGTTTTCCTCTTATAGTTGATGTGTTTCCCTCGGTTTTGGTTTGTGACCCGGATTTATTTTCGCTTAATCGATTTACGACTATTGAACAGCGGTATACTACTGTTGCCTTTATTTGTCGTGTGTAAAGGGTTTTTTTATGGGCAAGACTTACCTTTGAACTCTGTCACGTAATGTTGTCATTTAAGCGGTATTTTTAACACTGCCATATAAGCGGGAGGTTTGGCTAGCCATAAAACCAGGTTCACCCCACCACTTTTTTTTGTGGGCAAGACTTCCCTTTGAACCCTCTTTGGTGTTTATATGTCCCTTTAACAGAGGGGGGTTAAAAGGAAGTCTTTACTTTTCCGTATTATTCAGAGCTTTTTTTCCACGCTATTGTTATACTATAATACATTAAATTAAGTAAATAATTATAGTATTTAATATACATTATCATTTTGAAAAGAAACCTCTCATACGTGTACGGATATAAATTATTAAGATCAAAATGAATTATGTAATTTAGTCCTATTTTTTTATGAACTAAAAAGCCTGACTTTAATTTCACAAAATGAATGTATTGGGTAAATGCATTGAGTCCCACAGCATGGTTTTAATTTAAATAACTTGACAACAAATCTAAACAAATTAGGAGACACATCTATTTACATTCTTACATAATAAATTAAATATCAGTCCTGGCGTGATCGTTTGCTATCTCTCCGGAGTTACCGATAAAGTAATTATTTTTCCTATTTCAATACATAAATATATAAACATGTATTGATTTCGTCTAAACATTTAAATTCCAAATAGTATGTAAACCTTTGCATTGCAATCAACTGTCCTGTATCTCAGAATTGATTAAAACGCTGTTTGTTTGACGTATATCAAATATCTATTATTTAGGGAGGTACCATTTGATTTTTATGGGGGGGCTAAGATGAAAAATTTTGTTCTGCATTTTTTTTTTAGTTGTAATCTCTGTCCTGCCTTTTTATTTTTCACTCTATTCGGTCCTGCCTTTTTTTTTATTAGTTTATCCTGACTTTTTATACATAAATTGTCATCCTGCCTTTTTTTTTTTGCCAAGTTGCTCATCCTGCCTTTTTTTTTACTCAAAAATCCTGTCCTGCCTTTTTTTCAAATTTCATCCTAGCCCCCCTCCCCATAAAAATCAAATGGTAGCTCCCTTAGGGCGAAAACTTATAAAATATAGCAATGACATTTTGACACAAAGTAGCTTGACGGAGAGAAAAGTCGTTTTCATCAGTGAAATATGACGACAATGTAAATTAAAAAAAGAACCCTTACGAACAGTTACTTATCGGGATTCAGATATGCTAATTGGACGATGGGTATGCATTAAGCACGATCTATGATCCTGGCTCACTGTTAGACTGACACGGGAGAAGGTTGGATCAGGATGTCAGGCTTCATCCAACACAGCCGTTAAACTACTTTTAGGGGAGAGACGTTGCGCTAAACCTGTGATGAAAACGTTGCTTGGGTTATTTTTTTTTTCTTTTGAATTAGATATTCTCTCATTATGCATTGCTTTAAAGTTGAATAAAGGATATTGTATTTTTCAAAATAACTATTAATTCATGACATTAGATGGTTCATTCATTTGTACACTTAAAAACAAAGCAACAGAATTTTGTTTATTTACATTATAGATATAAAAATTAAGATGTGGTATGATTGCCAATGAGAGAACTCTCCACCAGAGACCAAAATGCATGTGTATAACTATCTGTGCTGGTTATATATTTTATGTTCCTTTGTGTATTATCTTTTGTTATTCAACTGATTGTCTTAGAAAACTCACAGGTTCTTGGGGACAGGACAAATTTTTTTTAGTCCTCCTTTTTTCCAAAATTCCTTTTTTTCTATTAATTTCAATTATTTTCGTTTTTTTCTGTATTATATGAATATAAATTTACTAGAAATAACTTGTATTTGCCATTTACTATCAATTTCAATTTTACTGTCCACAGTGGTCCCTGTTAAATTATATAGAGCTATATATGCGTGAAAATAATTGAAATAATAGAAAAACAAATAAAATAACGGAATTTTGGAAATTTTATTTACATTAAATATGAGAATTTTAGTCAAATCGGTGAACATGAATTTGACAGCTAAAGCCCCTTTAATGGTTACTGTAGATCTTTAGATAGTTTTTGTTGAATTTATTATTTACTACTTTTCAAGACTAGGTCCGATTAAAATCTTGACATATTGTATAGACACCTGTCTGTTGTTGGAACTTTTGACTTTTGGCCTCAAGATGACTTTTGGTTATTTTCGTGTTAATTGATTGATGTCCCATTGAGGTTTCATGTATACCCCCACATTACCGCAATTTCAGAGTTTTACATAAGAAAACCCATTGGAAAGAACATAATAGATTTAATAATTAAACGTAGCTTGCTTCACGGCAAGTGATATATATTTCATGAATAAATCGGAGTATAACGAGTAAACAAATATCCAGGGACAAGATTTATAAAAGTTTTTTAAAACAAGGCCAATACTGGGTCTGGACCTGCGTTGCAGAATGTAATTGATTGAGATTGCATGTATACTGAAGGCAAGGTAACTTATGACGAGAATTGTCGTATAATGCAATGAGTGTTGTAAAATTTCAGCTATCGGCAAACAGGAATTGGCTACTAGGCGGATGTAGATATTGCTTACTCGCTACAACTCCACATTATCAAGCTGCAGATCAAATATAAAATCATTCCCTACAATATGAGCCAAGAAAAGTTTGACGAAAAATTTTATTGTACAATGAGTGTTGTAAATTTCAATTATCGGCAAACAGGAAATGGCTGTGCTTACTCGTAAACAGTGCTTACTTGCTAAACAACTAAACATTATCAAGCTGCAGACCAATTAAACTAGAAGTAACTGCGTATTGATACATCATACATTATAAAACGAAGCTTTTGAGCAACGATCTCACTAATGACAAATGAAGTCCTGGATGTCCTATTCTCATACCTTTATTTATACTTAGAACTGGGAGAAATTTTAGCAGTGACATATATTATTTGAAGGTGACTTGCTAACCATAAAAAGAGAGGCGGATACCAAAGGTATATTCAAACTCATAAGTCGAAAACAACCTGGCAATGCCTTGGCAAACAATGCCAAACGATCAAAAAACAAACAGTATATATACAAAACACAACATAGAAAACTTGAGACTGAGCAACGCGAACCTCACCAAAAATCGGGGGTGATCTCAGGTGCTCCGGAATGGTGAGTACATCAGCAAACATTTTGGGAATGATCGGGATTATTTCATTTATTAATTACCTTCCCCCTCCCCCTTAACCTTCAGCTAGCATACCCCTCAAAAATCCAATGCAAGGTTTCTTTTAAACGCAGATTGTATGGAATTCCACCAACAGAAATATTTAGTGGAACTCCGTAGAATGAAGGTGTTCATTCTGATATCACGTGACGGCGTATTTATACACCCCAGCAAAAATAATGCCTCTACTCCCGAACAATAAACGTCATTGTGACCATATTTCTATATGCAAATAAATCCTCTATGTAAACTATTCAAGTCAAGGCCTGAAATTTTAATTATAGTGTTGGTAACTTTGGTTTAGCATTTACCTATTTATATAAGGTATAGGGGGTAAGGTATCCGTCAATTTGTTTTTCCTCCGGCCGCCAATAACCCTTTCTAAAGTGGGGCGTCCGTTTAGTTGTGAGGGATGTACAAGTACGCAGCCATGTTCGGTCAGACAGGGGACGTCATGTCCGGTCAGACAGTGGACGTCAATTCCGTGACCTCAAAAAAAGAGAGTGTCACGCTCTCTGCTCGTTAAGAATTCTAGACAATCTTATCATTCTATGTTTTGTTTTGGTCTGTTTAGTCTTTGTTCTGATTGTGTTTCTTGTTTCTGGTCTGTTTATGTTTTCTTAGGCAATCCAATGTTTGGTAACCACGTCGTGTCTTTTTTTCATTTTTTGGGGTTTTTTTTATTGGGGATCATTCATAAGTTGTTGAAAACAAAGAAAATTTTAAGCAATATTTTTAAGAAAATCAAAATACAGCAATTTTAGGGATGAAGGATATTGTATTCCCGAATACTATAAGTAAGGTCTGGTATCTTGGTTTGTCGTTAGGTTGTTGCCTCATCAAGGTATACCATAAAAACCTTCTTTGATTAATTCAAAGTAGACAAATTTCCTTTTAGTAACCTCCAACACGATCATATTAAAATTTCCTTTTCTAACCTTTTAACTGTTAGGGACGAATAATATTACACTCCACACAAAGAATGCACTAATGATTATATACAACTGAAATTAACAACAATAAAACGTTCATTTCAATCATGACACTGAACTATATTTAATGCATACCTTCATTTTTGTATTTATGGAGTAGTTACATTTCTATATATCACGAAAGATCGACGATCAACTGATTTGTGAAAATATTTAAATATTGAATTTTTATTTACTTTTAAAACGTAATTGAATAGAATAAGTGTTTGCAGTTTTATTCAAAATGTATTGACCAACGGATATAAGTGTTACACAGTAATAAAAACTACATTTTATATACTTGGAATACGAGATCTCAAAATGTACTTAACGTTGTACGCTGTACAACTCTTTGTTTTTAAAGGTAAGTGAAATTTGTTTGACAATGATCTGATACAGGTTGTGGGTTAAACGCCAATGAAAAAGTAACCTAACGACAGAAACTGATTCAAGGAACCGAAATGTATGATAGATTGACTGTTGATTGTACCATGTCCAGCAGCCAATATAACTCGCATACTCAGACATGACATTTTTTATATGGAGTAAAATGCAACCAAATGTTAAAAAAAAATGAAAGGAATCATTATGATAAACTGGAATCGATAAGCTTTGTTGCAACATCAGACGGAAGTATTATTTGGTAATTTTCAGGCATCCCTATATGTTCTGATTCAAAAATCATAAAAATAGATTCTAATTGTTGACCCCATTAATTATGTTGTATGTATTTTCCCACTCAGACTTTACACTTAAATTTTAAAATGCTCGGCAAGCCTCGCATTTTAATTTTTTTCAAGTATCTCGAGTAGATAAATAACATAATCTAAGATGTATGTTGGTAGAATGTAAATGATTACATCTAAATTAATTCTGTAGAATGTAACGCTTTTAAATTATGTGATACAAGACGGTTATGGAATATAATTAATTAAAATTATAATAAATTGACTTCTTTTTAACAACCAGCTTGCAGTTACTGCCCTAACCGAATTCTGTTCAAATGACACGTTAAGCCCTTAATCTAAATGGAATCCTCAAGGTTTGAAGATAAAAACATTTCAAAATATACAGAATTTCAATTGGGAACAACCCCTTAAAGTATTGTATTATGTTCAAGTCGGCAAATTATATCATGTTTAAAACATGAGCTCAATTGTTAAGTTATTCTGTAAATTTCTAATTGAATACAACAATCCGCCTTATTGATCCAAGTCTCAAATTTATTCAACATTCATTTAAATTTAAAGTTGTGAAAGATGAACTTAATTGAAAAAGGTTGGAAAAGAATTTGTTTAAAAGGTCTCCAGCGTACTAACAATGAAGTATTGAATTGATCGCTTGTTATTTTCTATCAAAAAAGCATCATTAAACAGTAATGCTTTTCTACCCTTCCGACGAATCGCATGTTTATGTATATTTGTATGTAAATTGTATTTCACAAGCATGTGACGATTGCATATTCAAATATAACGTAAAGTGATTTGTATTAGGCTTTAGTAATTCATTTTCTGTTTACTAAGAAGGATATGTGTTTATAACACAGTCATCCATATAGTACATGTATGTATATTATTATTTAAAGTAAGTAAAATTCATTCAAAAAGCGTAATTATTTTAGTATTTAAATTATTCAATTCACAGAAAATAGTTAATTTTCACATTTTATAAGATTCGTATATATTTACATGGTGTTGGATTATGCTAAATTTTAGTGAAATTATAAATGCTATCTATTGCTATATATTTTCAAAAATAAATCTAATAAATCACAAGACAAGAAAATCAGTATGAGAACTTAAAACATTCGGAAATTTAAGCTTCTCGGTCTCTTCCGAGCCGATTATCCAAATGGTTATAATGTACCATGCAGGGTCATGAAAGTCGCAAGAATCTATCCCGTCCCATAGTCAGACTCGTTCTGATTGGTAGTCCGTTTGGTTGCTCTGGATGTATGAATATCCACTCACGTCAAGTAAATATGCGGGTGTTAAGTCTGATACAATGTGTACGATTATCTTTTTTCTTTTTCGTTTCTATCGATTTTCTCGTGCGCTTGCTGATACTTGTATTTTTTATACAATAGTTCAGCGACCGCTATTAGATAAGAGAGTTTTTTAGTTTCATTTCGAACAAATAGAGTTTTTGTAAGCAAGCTGGAAGAACAGCAAAAAGACCCGGTTTATTTGCTTTGTGTCTTTGTAGTGTCTTTGCACTGTGTGTAGCAAAAAAGAGAGGAAAGGGATGATAAAAAATCACCAATCATAAAATACCGACAATATCACGCTAAAAATAAACAATAGTTTACAAAACAATACTTTGAAAAATAAAGACTGAGCAACACGAAACTCATAAAAAAACCGAGGGGTCTCAGGTGCTCTGGAAAGGTGATGCAATCCTGCTTCACAGGTGCTTCCAGATGTGTTGCTCATGGCAACCACAAATTGTGAAAATACTCATTCGGTGATATCTTTTCCGGTTTATTTTTTGGGTTTAATCGGTTTTTTTTTATGTTTATTGAGGTTGATAAAGGGTTATTTTCGTGCAACGTTTTCGGCCTTTTTATTTCACGTGTTTTCGTGTTTTGACGTTTTATTTCTCGTTTTCTCGTGTTTAGTTCGATGTGCGTGCTTCGTGTTTCCCCTTATTTATTTTTCGTGTTTCGTGTCGGTACTTATAATTTCTCGTGCTTGTCCTGCATTTGATTAAATGTAAACCGGGACTAATTCAAAGTCAGCCCGGATAATGCTAAATGTTATGATGTAAAATTATGTATTAATGAACTGATTCCCATGATATTAATTGCTCTCTTCATTAATAGCCTTTAAGTACTTAAATAACTTCTTTTGCAATTATATTATATATGTATAGAAACTATATAATAAAGTCCATCAAATTACTATGAATAATATTTTTTTTTCAAATCAGATGCAACTAGCGGACGATAAAAGGTGACCGCACTTCATGTCCAATAATGATGAATGCATGATCTCCAAGAACGACTGAGAAATAACTTCTAGTACTTTTTTCCTTAATATTTACGATTTCATTTCTCGTGCTTCGTTTTTCCCGATTTTTATTTTCCGTGCAACGTTTTTGCGAGTTTTATTACACGTGTTTCTGTGTTCAGACCTCCCCCCCTTTATCACCCTCTTTATTGTGTATTTTCTTTTTAAAAATTATACCACTGGTCGAGATGAAAGGAAGAGAGAGATCTAATCCCCCTAAAACTACATGCGTACTACATGCAGTATTCCAAGTTGGAAATCGTGTTATTGGCTGTATATCGATGTCATTTTTACTGTTTTGTTCATTAAAGAAGATGTTTTCTCTCTTGAATTCATTCATCAATTGTCTGGAATAAGTATAAAGAATTTCGCCAACCTGGTGTAGATGTTTATTTGTTCATGGAATTAAACACTACAGTAATCTTTTTTTTGTGTCGTTGGATTGCTGTCATGATTACCTTGAGGTTATTTTAAAGGTACTGTCTTCATGATCGTGTAACAGACTACGGATTCACAGTTATAATTAACTGTTTGTGATAAACTTTAATTACGCTAGTAATAGTATTTATTAAATTTACATTTTGTTTACATAATACTGAATATTAATAATCACGAATTATAATGGAATTTAAATTAAATCCTGATCGTTTTCATATAATGATTTAACATCAATGGTCAGGTTTACATAAATTAAATGAGACTGGAACCGAACACAACAAAAATATATTTATTGATGCTATAAACATCAATTTTACATTGCCAAAAAGATACAAGTCAAACTTATCATGATAATGTACTTTGAATCTTTTGGGAACATATGAAAAAGAAGATATTCATGTGTGACATGTGTGCTCATTGCGAAACCTAATGGTTTAGAACGTCAAGTGTTTTATCAGAAAAGGTAATGAAAGAGCTAAATGTGTCATGATCCAGGTTTCTCCAAATGTGGTCGAAGCGCTAAAATCAGATTTTACGCCAAGCAATGTATTTGCGAAAAATCAGGACACATATTGTGTAATAGTTCTGTCATCCAAACATTTTAAGAACATTCAGTAATTATCATAAATCTAACTGCTCTGTTGTTCAAAGCTTTCAATTGTTTTTTTTTAACATTTCATTCTATAAACTAATTTCAGGCATTTTGTAAAATGCCTTTCAATTTTTCCAGGCATTTTGAAAAATGCCTTGAAAAATTAATCATTATGTAAAATGCCTAAATCTTGCAGGCATTTTAGAAAATACCTAACGTTTTAAGGCATTTTACAAAATGCCTAAATTTAGAAAATGCCTGTAACATATACATAAATACATGTTTAACATTTGTAGTTAAAACTCATCACTGTCAAGCTGCTAACCAAATATGAAGTCATTCTGTTCAATTGAGAAACGAAGTGTGAGGGCAATAGTTTTTTCGACGAATCGACGGACGGATGGAAGAACGAGTGAATAAGGTGATTGAAATTTAACACCCACTTATTAAAGTGGGGTATAATATTGAACAAAGTATGATACCGCTCACCAGTGCGATCGAAACGTGTTATGAGAAGACCAGTTTTTTTAGTTAAATTTTGGAAGAGAGTAGGCTCAAAATGATCGTCTCAAGCCTCTATATGAAACATATGTTACAACTGGACATGTGTTGAAGACCCATTGGTGGCTTTCGGCTGCTTTCTGCTTTTTGGTCGGGTTGTTGTCTCTTTGACACATTCCTCATTTCCATTCTCAATTTTATTTAGTAACCAAAATCCATCAAAGCTTGCCCAACCCCAAATATCCAGTTTCAGCAATTCACATTAAATTAGTTGCCTTTTCAAAATCTATCAAATGTGTATCTGACTCCTGAACTCCAAAATCTTAATCTTGTATTCCCGGAGCACATTTTAACGGACAGAAACCTTTGGGGAACCACTTGTGAATAGTGTACACCTTTAATATATAACGTATGAGAAAGGATGAAGTATGATACATGTACGGACATTGTTATTTGGCCACTGAAAGGGAACACAAAAGTAGTATACATTACACGATTTCAAAATTAAGACATTTTCAAGGGAGGATCCAGAGTTATAGAAAAGGGGAGTGTGTCAGGAGAGTAATTGCACTTAATGGCAATTTTATGCCAAAAAAAAAAAAATTTCCGAACAAAAGGGAGGCGCACGCCCGCTACGCTCCTCACGAATCCGCCACTGATTTTGGCAGTATTTTGTTATTTGCAAGAAGTTTTAAGACTTGAATTTATTTTGTAAAATGTCGGACACAATTTGATAGACTACTAATACTGATGATATCTTCTGGAGAGCTAAAGGGTTTTATTTTATACATCTATAACGCATATTTTCGAATTCTTGATGCCGCAAAAAATCAACCTTATCATAGTATCTTCTCCTTTAAAAACAAATTGATGGATATTTTCTGCATTTCTATCTAAATGTTAAACTTAGAATAAAAACTTGACTAATAGGACATTATATACGTTAACATTAAAACGATCTTTTCTAATACGTTAATGGTCCATATAAACCTTTCAAAAACTAGAGTCTTCGTTCTATTTTAATCCAAACAAATCGGAAATAAAATACTCAAATAAATTTTCAATAAATCCTTATTAATATTATGTTGAGGAATAAAAACTAATCGAGCTTGAATTATTAATGTGTATTTTCGATCCAATTTTGAATAAGATCTAAATGCGAAAATGGCACATTAATTTTCAATAGTGCAAACCTTTTATGCGAATAATTGAGAATAGATTGATATTTCATCTCTTTTGCCTACATTTTCTTTTCACAAGTGCGAGGGTATTTCTTTGAAGTATTTGCTTAATTTGTGTAATCCAAAACAGATATAGATGTTTGACATTAGATTTGACCTAAAAGTGTCACCTTTGATATTTTGTCTGTTTAACAAAAGAAAGAAATACTTATAGTGTACTAATAAAATAGAAAACGAATGAAACATGCTAAATTCAGTTATCTTCGTTGGTCGCCATCTATCTTATTTCTCATTTAAATTGTTAAAATACATTTTGAAATGTCGCAGCTTTTTATAGCTTACCTTATTGTATTACTTTTGCTCATTTTGAAAGGCCGTACAACGACCTAGAGTTGCTTACATTTACATTATTTGGTCGTTGTTTCAGTGGCAGTCATACTTCGTCTTTATAAGGGAAATAACTCCCAGACAGGACACACTTTATCCCTGTCTATACCAACAGCTTGCGTTTATGTACATTGTGTAGGTAAGCTGCTATGAATTCTTAGTGTGTAATCATCTTTTTTTGCAATCCAATTTTTACAATCATATATGAATGTGATTCCTCCAAGGGTTTCAAAGTCAAAAATGTTGTCAGATTCCGCACCATACTTCTTGCTCGTTCTACACACTTTGAAATGGCAGGGATACAGTTTGGCCGACCATGAAGCTGTTTCCGATTAAAAAAAAACTAAAATGTAAAATAAATTCAGTTATTTTGAACCCACAAATTAACTATTACAGAGAACTGTAAATTCAGAAATTTATTACGATGCTGTTATGATAGCAAAAACTGTATTTAATTTTATAATTAAACAGTTAAATTTGATTTGAATCATTATCACACTTTCAAAAGGTTATTTAAAACCTTTCCTATAATGGACCACTAGCCACACCTAGTCAAGTCAAGTGAATTTTATGATGTAATCACTTAAAAATTCGTATTACAAATATTGGAACGATTGGATCGGTTGTCAACGAAATCGTGTATATGTGTCATCATTCTATAAACTCGAGAAAGTAAAAAAAAATTATCATATGTTAATGTTGTGATTAAATCAAACAATCCTCAGTCCAAGTCAGAAACTCTTAAGTAAAGTGTTTCGTCGCGACAGATTTTCACTCCCGATTTATCCGTGCATGTTCTCTAGCAGATTTGAGGTCATTTGGTTGTCATATAATCAGCACAACCAAATCACTGCCTGTAAGCAAACAAATCAATGTTAAGATAGGCAATTTAAGAACTTTTTCACGTGCCAAGAGCCCGACATAATAACCCTATATGATTTGTATACAATTGCCCAAATCAAGCATAACATGAATGCGTAGTTCCACATGGCACACGATCACAGTTCAGTTTAGCCGAACATGATTGCGTATTGAACAATCCCCCACTATCAAACAGCCCAATTTAGCCAATCATGACAGCATATTTATACATCCAACACCTGCAAACGACCCATTTCAGATGAACGTGACTACGTATTTATACATCCCATACCACCAAACGGCCCAATTCAGACGAACATGATTACGTATCTATACATCCCAGTTTACTTATCAAATTCGCAACATTAGGACGCATAATTAAGCAGTTATATAATATATACAAGTGTAAACTAGCAGGTAATTATACAAATGTATGTAACAAATTAAAATATATGATACATTAAAGTGTCTTGAACATCAAAAGCAAACTGTTCAAACAAAAATATAAACTTACAACTTTAAATAAAAGTAGTCTTAAGATTTTTCTATATTTTAGTAGACGAGGAAACATTAGAGTTAATAAAAACGGTTATTAAATTAAAAATTCATTTCGAGGATATTTCATTCTATTTTATTATAACCCTTTTATATACGAGTTCGTGAAAGCTTTTATTTTTATAATCAATAATTAGATATAGGAAGATGTGGTATGAGTGCCAATGAGACAACTCTCCATCCAAGTAACAATTTATAAAAGTAAACCAGTCAAGGTACGGCCTTCAACACGGAGCATTGGCTCACACCGAACAGCAAGCTATTCAAACGGGAAAACCAACGGTCTAATCTATATAAAAATCTATATAAAAACGAGAAACGAGAAACACGTATGAACTACATAAACAGACGACAACTACTGTACATTAGATTCCTGACTTAGGACAGGTGCAAACATTTGCAGCGGGATTAAACAATAACGTATTTTGTTTCATACACAAGCCTCGTAACCAATGCAACTTTAACATGTCTCATTCGTCTACCGCCCTCGGGGGTTTCTTTTTCTGATACATCCCTGTAATATTCATTAGACTCCGTTGATGAATACAAATTGAAATTCATTTTCAGTTTAAGGATCAATGCGAATACAAATACTTCTGCAAATCCAATGAAGAGCCCGTTATCGAGCATATAATATACTACAATATTAAAGTATCAATTGAGAAGAATTTTCAAGATACTAAGTAAATTACATCTAATTCAAGAATAAATAAATAGATATTCTCCATATCAGAACATATGTAGAAAACTAAAGATAATTTTAATCTTTTGTACACTCAATATATACATGTTACATGTATTTCTAGTGACTGGAATAAAAGTCTCTTCACGTTTCAAAACAAGTACTTATAAATATTGAAACTCAGTTATTCTGTTTCAGAAGACATTATATTTTAAACCAAACATGAACAATATGGCAATGCATAGATTTAACTCTTTTCCACTGGTTCTGGTGAGTTTTGATGAGGTTTATTGTCTCTTATGGTTTAACATAGTAACAATTTATCGTCAATCCCAGTCAACAAAAGCTGACATTTCTTGCAAATGCGAAAAGGATAACCACAGTCTCTGATATGTTATAGGGACAACATGTCAATTGTTTTAATAAGAGGTAACAAAACCGAAAATCCTGGCGCCTCTTAAAACACGTAAATATTCTATCCCTGGGTACACAATTCCAGGAAAATGCATCTATTAAACTTATGTGACATTTTTTGATATCTCAAAGTCAGGAAACCGGATTTTAAATATAATAGATCAAGGTAAAAATAACTACTATGCTGCGATTTTATAATTATATTAGGAATTATTTAGGAGCTAAATATTTGAAAATTCCAGAGACGTATTTGAATACAAAATCATATTGACCCTTGTAATAACAAGATTACCATAAACTTGACGTGAATAAACATATATTAGATGATCTTTATATATTATACGAGAACACTTCAAAAAATATATATTACTTGTAATAGGATGTCGCTAACATTTTATTGATATTTAAAATTTTCTGTTTTATCCTGTTATAAATTACGGATAACTTCTTGTTTAAATAAAAACCTTTTTAAACCCACAGTAAATTATTCCGACAGTTAATTTTGTTTTTGGAGATTAAATGTATACATTGTGTCAAACTCATCCTATTCTGATATAATATTTAGGTAAGTAATGTTTTACTTATTATCATCATCCGCCATTGCTCAAAAAGCCTTAGTTAAGCTTTAGATTTCGCAGTTCTTTTGTCTATCACTCTTGATTAAAGATAACTTGACTCAATTTTTATATGAAGGGTGAAAATATATAGTATGAGATTTTAGATGGAAAAAGTTTCATTAAATATCTGAGGAAATTTTCATATTTTTTAAGCTAAACATTAAAAGTGAAAAGCTTTTATGGCGAAACAAAGATGAAGTTAGGGAATAAAAATGATCGGATTTCAATTATTTGTATATGTGTGTGACTGTGTGTGTCTCTTAGTTGCTGTTCTAAGGAAGTGCATGCACACCTCCTTTGATCCGTACGAATGGTTTTCTTGAATAAATCCTTCCTTGGACGCAAAGTAACATGTTTTTTTTTTACACATGCTTTTGGGTTAAGTAAATCTTCAATATATCTTCATAAACTCTATAAACGTGATTCTAAATTATGTTTAATGCGAATGTGTTTTCCTTTATTGTATTTGCAGATAAAATAAACTCATCAATAAAAGTAAGGCACCAACTCCATTATTTAATTTCTTTGAAGTTTTTTTTTTTATTGCATATAACTTTTTTCTGAAGTCATTTATTTTAATTCTATAAAAAGAACTTCAAGATGTTTTTAATTTTCAGTTATCAACACCAAAACAACACATTTTTAATCCCAAACGAAAAAGTGCCGAATTTATGAAAACTGAAGTCGAGTGAAAATTGTTTAGGTTCTTTTTTTCAAATGACATATTTGAAATTGACAAATCTCAGACTTTTCATTTTTGACCTTTTTGGATGAAATAAAATTGAGAATGGAAACGGGGAATGCGTTAAAGAGACAACAACCCGACCAAAGATAGAAAATAGGCCACCAATGGGTCTTCGACACAGCGAGAAAATCCCGAACCCTAAGGCGGGCTTCAGCAGGCCCCTAAACAATAATGTATGCTATGCGAAAATGGACGTCACACGTAACTCCGAAACATATAAATGAACAAAAATTAAAAAAACATACAAGACTTACAAAGGTCAGAGGTTCCTGACTTGGGATAGGCGCAAAAATGCCGCGGGGTTAAACAAGTTTTGTGAAATCTCAACCCTACCCCTATACCTCTAGCCAATGTAGAATAAACAAACACACAGCAATACGCACAGTGAAATTCAGTTTATAAGAAATCCGAGTCCGATGTTAGAATAGGTAACATAAGAAACTAAGCAAAATTACAATAGTCAACATAAATTAAAAAATACCTTTATTTGCCACTTCAAGTTGAGAGGAATGTTCGTCCCGACGCATTCAAATATATCTAAGGAATATCCCACCGACAAAACAGCAATATTTTGTCATTTTCTGAACGTTTTTCTGATATATCTGTATTTCTAAATATCTAGTATGAATGGTCTATTGCAGATATAAAATGAATCAAGAATCGATTCAATCTCATTAAAATATAAACCCTGTGTGCCTTGTGGCTAACAATGAAGGTTCAGACCTCACATTTGAAGTAACTAAAGTGCATTTCACCCATTTCGGATATCATATATACTGACTATGCGGTATGGGTTGTACTAGTACTCATTGTCGAAGGTCGTATAGTTGTTTATGTCTGTGTCATTCGGTTTCTTGTGGAGAGTTTTCTCATTGACAATCATACCACATCTTCTTATTTTTATATTATTTTTTTATTATTTTCTTTGCTGAAGTTGCGATATTATGTTTTTTTTTCCTTTTCGTTTTCGTTCAAGTAGCATTTTACACTATAAACATGATAAATTCCAATTTTTTACAAGCAATGTTTTCTGAATATTTCAGATAAAAAGATGTGAATAAAAAATGGAAAGAAGTCGAGAAAGTATATTAGACGGATTTCAGTTCCAAAACAGTGAAACTTACTGGGAAATACGGAGACTTCTTGAACGAAGACCCCCAAGTAGATTTTCTGACGGATTATCACGGGAAGCTCGTATGGTCATTGATCAGTTAAAGGAAGAGTCTAAATCATGCAATACACCACAAACATCTGATGACCATAGTCACATTTACACAGACAGACGATATTCTAACTTGAAGCCAGCTAAGACTAAGGTAAAATCCGAGGAACCTCGAAAGAAAAAAAGTGTGACGTATACCGATTCATTGGAGAAATCCGCATTACGTCTAGACCGTGACATAACAGACCCTAATTTCAATGAAATGAAACAACGTAAACGCTCCCTAGGTGGCGGACCTGTGCAATCAGCTATGGAAACTATTGAAATCGTAAATGCTTCGGAACCTACGGAAATTACCGAAGATGATTTTGCTATCGAGGAGACGGCGAAGCATAATTCCGTGGAGAAATGTATAGTGTGGATGGAAGTGAACGATAATCAAGACGATTCAGAATCGAATGTTGGTGCTGTTGCTGAATGATTATGGCTTTCTTTTACATCATGTTTAAAAACACCATTGAAAGTTGTTTATGAGATTTCATTACAAGTTGAGAATCTGAAGTTTTCGCCACCTGTTTCCATGGTGAAATTAAATGAGTTTCGATTAGTAATAATTTAAAATATTATATGAGATTCGATGAAATTATTTTACGGATATCTATCCATCAAAGACACATCTGAAACCACATTAATCCAACTATTAGAACGAATAGCAAATTGTGGTATGATCCACATCTATAGATCTCAAGCATACTAACTTTCTGCCATTGGTATCTTTCAACGCGATGTATTTTATTCATTTGTATATGTAATTTATTTTTGTAGTTTGATAAAAACATATACAATTAAAAACCTTCCAACTGAACGTGATTCAATATATTAATAGTATCCTGTAAAATGTAAATATTGAATATAATAGATTTTATTCGATCCTGCAGTTTTAGACATACTTACATTAATCAATTATTTAAAGATTCAATTTACAATGTTTTTTATGTAATTGTACATATTTTAATTAGAAAATAAGTATTTTTTTAATTTGCTTCTTTTGATATTAAGCACGAAATTTCACTGTGCATATAGGTTTAAATGATATTTTTTTATTTCATGAGAAACACTTTTGTATTCCAGGACTGGGAATGAGCCTGATACATGTACATGACTTTTGATTAATCTTTCACTACACTCAAACTCATCATCTACCGACAAATTGAAATAGCGTGAGGCAACACTTATGGATTTATTTTTTTAACAGCATAATTTATTATAATATAATATATATATATTAATGTTATTTGTAAAAGAAGTGAGGTTTAATAAATATGTTCTTGAAGAAAGTACTGCTGAAATAATGTAGTACAGTAGTTTTTGTAAGATTATATAGCTCTATTCGCTGGATATGACTTGACTTGCAGCGAAAAAACAACAAGTGGTACGTAATAGATAGCTCAAGCAAATGGCTCTTGTGTTTGGAGAGATCGATTACGGGGAGGGACTGAATTATTCGCAAGATTTCCGCGACAAAAATTATTTTAATTCTGTTTTACAAATGCATGATTGATGAAATGCCGATTTATAACCTATTACTGATCATGATTTAAAGGTACCGTTGTCTTCTTTGAACAAAAACAAAAGGTTTGAATTTGAATCATCATATCATCATCGATTAAAATACATGTACATTGTATACGGCGTTGGCAATGGGGCCATCGGAGTCTACATTGCCCATAACATAATTCAAATATTTGATTAGTTTTTTTTCTTCTGGCAAATGTTTTGTTATAAACGTTGTCAACCATAAAAATGTTGATTGTCGGTTCTGACTCTTTTTATTATTACACAATGCAAGTCAAACGTCTCGTTAAAGTGTCTGTCTTTTTAAATGTTCTGGAGTGAAAGAGGAGGGAGACATTCCGAAAGGCAGTTAAAACCAAAATGCGACTAAAAACGGACAACACTCTGGCTACATAAAAACGAAAAGACATCAAACAGCACACAAAACACTACAATGAATTAACAACAAGAACACCACCACGAATCACGTGTTAAATCATGTGCTCTTGAAGGGTACGCGGTCTCTGTACCGTATTGATTGTTTAGCGCTTCGGACGTATGAAAAATAACGTGTAGTTATGTCTATTATCTGCAAGGTACTGTATGACGCAAAATATCAAAGCCACATTGAATAAAACTTGATAGAATCTAAGGTGAAATACATGTACAATGATATTTGAAATTTCTTTGACCTCGATGCCATGACCCGACTTTAAAAGCTCAGTTGCACACATGTAGGTATATGTAGTTATGTGCTAACAGTTCTCTTAGTGCATTTATGGTTAAAAATTATTGTGAAAAAAAAATGAACTTATATAATCGAACGTGCAATTCAGAAGCAATGAAGCATATCTATGTAATAAAAAACTATACACAAAGTATGTTGTACATAGAAATCACTGAAATTAAAGCAGATATTTATTCAAAGAGCAACAACTCTGGTAGGAATTTTCTATTCTAATCTGTGATTTTAAACGTGTAGCAGCGTAGCCAGATTTTTGCTGAGGTCAGCAGGGTCTGGATGGGGGGGTCCTTCATTTCTGTATTCTTCAATATTTTTGATCGTTTTTCTTTATTCTTTATACTTTTTGCCCATTATTCTCTATTCTTTAAAGTTTAGCACCTCAATATTCTCTATTCTATATTTTTTTTGTGTCTATTTTTCTCTATTCTTTAATTTTTTTGCCCATTATTCTCTATTCTGCAAACCCCCATACACACCCTCAGTCATTATAGTGATGCAATATGTTTATTTAAGATTCAGAGTTATATGTATCTGCACATACACTTTGACGCCTGCAAAAATTGTGGAAACCTCAACGAATATATAATATGTTTGTTCGGACAACCCTTTTTTCTCTGTGTAAAGACTGAGACACGTGTATTTAGAATCGCGACATCCATAGATCAATGGATCAAAATAATTGACTAGCGTTTGAGTGTTGCTTAGTTGGTGAACCCGTACGTACGTTTAGTGGCAAATATTTCATACTTATCTTGAACAGAACAAATGGAAAATAATTTATTACGTTGGAACTGAAAAGAGGTTAAACTAAAGACCACCGCAAAAAAGTATATACTGTTGTTTCTTCAAAAGTAGGAAACACATTTTGCCGTACAACAATTCGCATATGAGCTATCAAAAGAAGTAACTAGCTATAGCTTCGATCAAGTGCACTTTCATTTCTCCAACATTCTGCGTTGCAATTAACTCAGATCATGAAATTAAATCACTGCACACATGAACATAATGAAAGCACGCACATGAAAAAATGAAAGCTCGCACATGAAAAAAAAATTAAAATCAATGGAACAACACTTTTACATGTATTGCTTCACATTTCAAAATGAAAATGCGGCCATTTTGATTTTCAATCCTGTATGGACATTGTGTAGCTTTGTAGTGAGTGATCTTAGTGTTTTATCGAATATTCATTGATCATCTAGAAATGTTAAGTAGGACATGAAGAATGCAATAGAAATAAACCAGAGACGAGAATGGATAATCCCAAACACGAATTTCAATTTGAAGATATAAATTACTCATATTACAAATCCAGTACTGGACTGTTGTCCATAAAAAATACTTTTTGTTATATCATCCGTTTGCCAATTCTATTTTGTAGATCTTGATAGCCTTCAAAAAAATTATAGGAAGAAATGTTCATTCCAGAGACATTTTGTTATATTTGTCGCTGAACATTAAGCTAAAAACAGCCAATCTTACATATTACACATTTCAAAAAAGAATGAATAAATAAACCACGGAAACGCGAGAAAACCGTATAAAAAATAGACGACTTTCGAATTTCTGTACTTTTGCCGTAAATTTCCTAACTCACAATGCTTAATATGCTGTTACTTCACAGTAAGAACCGGTTGTTAGATGACGTTGATTTCGCCGATTGATCTCGTTTCAGCCGTTGTTACTCATACATTAAAAAAAAATCGAAATTCGTGTATTGAACACATACATGTATTTACAGTGGCTATATTAGAATGAAATGTAATTGCATCCTAAATATTGTTTCTAAACCAAAAACAAAATATTGCACGTCACCATTTTAGTATTTGGGCACGTAGAACAATGTTCTAAGACAATGAAATTTTAAAAAAAACCAACTATAATGTAATCTAAACCATCAAATATTAAATGTAAAGTATGGGAAATGTATCAAAGAGGTTGAAGAGACCAAGGGGACATTCAAAATTGATAAGTCGAAGCCAAAGAAACTGGCAACGCCATTGAAATAAAGAGAGACGGCGGTGAAAAGACAAGCAATTCTACAAAACTACATTAAAAAAACTAAAGCCTGAGCAACATGAAACCAACCAAAAACAGGGGTATCTCAGGTGCTCCGAGAGGGTAATCAGATCTTGCTAAACTAACAGCATCCGTCATGTTGCTTATAGTAAGTACAAATTCGGTGATAAGTTTCATTCGCTGATGTCAAAATCGAGGGAGAGATGATGGGATTGTGGTTTCGACAATTGTAACAAATTCATGGCCATCTGTGCAATATAATCAATTAAGAACAATATATACGTATGATGAAGACATAATCTTTCAATCAGTTTAATTGAGGTCTGGAGCTGGTATGTCAGTAACTGCTAGTAGTCCTTTGTTAATTTATGTATCATTGTCATTTTGCTTAGATTCTTTTGTTACCTATTCTGACATCGGACTCGGACTTCTTTTAAACTGAGTTTTACTGTGCGTATTGCGATGTGTCTCTTTATTCTACATTGGCTAGAGGTTTAGGGGGAGGGTTGAGATCTCACAAAACATGATTAACCCCGCCGCATTTTTGCGCCTGTCCCAAGTCAGGAGCCTCTGGCCTTTGTTAGTCTTGTATTTTTTTTAAATTTTAGTTCCTTTGTATGTTTTGGAGTTTAGTGTGACGTCCATTTTCACTGAACCAGTACACAATTTTATTTAGGGGCCAGCTGAGGACCACCTACGGGTGCGAGATTTTCTCGCTGCGTTGAAGACCCATATTGGTCTTCGGCTGTTATATGCTGTTTGGTCGGGTTGTTGTCTCTTTGACATATTTCCCATTTCCATTCTCAATTTTATCATTTCTATATTTCAAATTATGAATTAGTTAATCTATTACCGTTATAAAATTAACAGGGCTATTGTAGTGTATAAAATACAAATTATATATAAATACTAGTTATATTGTCATATTTCAGAATAAGGACCAAATACTGTGTGACTGCGTTAGTCATCCGTCAACATCACCAGTCGCAAATCGAGATTTTTTTTTTTTATTAAAATGAATGTCTTTCAGAAAAATGTTCCAACCCCTGGATCTCCCTAACCCGTGTCTTGATCCACAACTGTCTAGTCGCTATACCAAAGCATGCCTTGATGATTTCACTTAAGAGATTATTAGTATATCCAGGGATTGGTATATTCTATACATGTATCTACATGTATAAGTATATCAAAAAAAGTATGATATATAGACTCTCGCGATCGGATAATATTAGATGAAAGTGTAGAGACATATTTGAAGATAAAACTAAAAGTAAAATATGACTTTCGAGAAACAAACGAAAACCCAACACAATATAAATAAAATAAGTTAGGAAATACGGTTTTCAAATGTTCCCCTCTAGGAGGCCTCGATAAATAGAACATTTCATGTATGAATAAAACATAAATAATTTGAGTTATCTCGCTTTGTGCAAATGTTCTGTTTTTTACAATCTCGTCTGACGAAATATTATCTGACGAAACATTGTTAATATCTTTCAAATACCATGATTAATAATGAAGAACACGTAGACTTGAACTAGTATAAAAGATAACTAACTATAGTATCAGTAATAGAAAGCAGAAATCATATCACAAGTTGTATACCGATTCAAATTTTAAAAATTTATACAAAAATGACTGAAATGTTACCAAAAGATGAAAACAATAAAATAATGGAAGAAAATTCGGAAATAAAGAAAGAAAATTCAGATCAAAATGTATGTAAAGAGAAGTGGAAAATGTTTGAAAAAAAAAAAAAAAAAAAAAGATGGCGGCGTGTTGTGGTCGTCCTCCGGACAGTGGTCAAAATTCCAATTCAAATGACGATTCAATAAGTCCAACATTTACAGAATTAGTGTCAGTAAGACTCAATAGCAATTTGGAAGGTAAAACAAACGGAACATTACAAAATGCTGATGCAATCGATGTATTGAACTCATCTCAATGTGACCAATGGTTTGAGTCCCAAAATGTAAACAATGACAATAGCCTGTCCAATTCGCAAGATAGTATTCCATTCAGTCAAGACTCATACATTCCATCGCAGCAAACTATTATGTACTTAGATAAGGTCTTAGATGGCCTTCCCAGAGAAAAATATATTGACATGATTGTGCATACTTTAAAAGGCAACGAATCATTAGTAACTTGGTACAGAAATATTCTGCTATCCCGGGCGGGCGAGATAGAAGGGTGCCCAAAAAGGAAACTTTGCAATAGAAAAACCACAAATAAATCTAGTAGCATACAAAAATACGCCAAGGATTGTTATATTCTGCAAATGTTTACAGAAGGCGACGCCTCTGAGATTGACTCGGTTTTCAGTAGGTCGGTTAATCCAACAAGTGACAATTTGCATAATGATACCATTTGTGAACAAAACCCCGTTAACCAGATTGATATTAACAGTACATTGCAATTGCTAATCGAAAGAGTCAATGGGTTAGAAAATATAATAAAAAGTAAAGACGGGATTGAAAAGAAATTAAAAGCAAAA